AGGGTGTGAGAAGTCCGTTTTCTTGACGTCGTTGAAATATTGCGGAGAATCAGTACAGAGCGCTAAGGATCATATACAGTACAGTCATTTGAAACTGGATGAGAGAACATTCATCGGATTTATAAAAAAACAGCATGATTCAAGCTTGAATTAACGAATCCGACCAACAAAATTGCACGTACGTACAGTACAGTGCAGTAATGAGTAGGCTTCGTTGACGGACGACACGAGACTGTTGAGTTTCGATGTTTCTCCACTTTTTCTGGACCTTCCTTGATCCTAAAATACGATACAGGAATAATTACCCAGAATTATAAGGAATGAGAAGTGTTTGATGACGCACATTTTCGCCAGAGATCACGTAATGACCCATGCGAAGAGCACATGCCTCCGAAATGCACTTAAGGACAGGCGTTTTCTTACTTTCTCCGGAAGTTAATTTTGAATAAATCACCATTTTTCAAGTGCACCGCCACTCACCATGGATGTAATCGCAGAATATAATCAATGCGCCAAATTTCACACCAATGGTTTCAACCACAACAAAAATCTGTCCGGGCAGTACCTCGCCAAAGCCCGGAACTGGAGCACGGAAATCACAACACGGATTTACGGTAATCTCAGGAAGCGGATACGAAATTTAGGAGAAAGCAAGTTGTAGAATAGTACAGTATTTTCATAAGGTCAAACCAAGATTGCGCTTCGTGTAAAGATGGTCGATCGTCCAAAAAGTTGTTCGAAAACAAAATGACTGTCGAAATTATCCCATAAAACTTTCGAGCATTTTTGGGAAGATGAAAACGATCAAATTTCTAGCCCAGTAATAATTTTTCAACTGGTGCAGTAAATTCACGGTTAACAGAAAACTAGACATATTTTGAAAAATTGCACGGTCAAACATAAATACAGTACAATAAAATAAAAATGCAACATTTCTGTTGATCTCCACTTTCGAACATGGGCGATTGGTCCAAGGCCGAAAAAATTAACCTACACGTAAGTTGAAATTAAATATACTCAAGTAGTGAAACAATGCGGCTATTGTGTTAACATCAATTCACTTGAGTTTGGACATAAATAATCACAGTCCCAATATTTTTTTATTTTCACAATATTTCACTTTCTTCCAGCTACCCGTCTCAGGAATACAGTAGAGAGAGAACTCTCTCTACAACGAAATTCAAGGGACCAATAAAAGTCATATTTGTATTTTGCATTTTCTCCTTTTACAAGTAGGTAACAAATATGCGCTAAATATTTCGAAGCGTGCCCCAACTGTATTCTCGTATCCTCGGTGAACGGGAGGGAACATGCATGCAGAAGCACTGCGGGAGACTTTCAATTAGAAAATAAAAATAATTATGGGAGAAAATTGGAACTCCAGAAGCCAGGATGCGTGGAATCCCGGATTAGAGTCTAATGTATAACGCGATTTGTACCACACGTCAAAGGACCACATGCGGGTGGTTTGAAAATCGCTCCGCAAGATTTGGAATTAGATCCCATACAATTCATGATCTCATGTCTGAAATAAAAGCTCACCCTAAAAACGTCCCTCACGTGACAGGCTATGGGGCACACAGGAGATTCACAAGCAAGAACAGGTTATCTCTTCAAAAAGCCGCGGGCGTAAAACCTAAAATTCGCCTCGGGAACCACATCAACCTCACGCTGATTTCCAACATACCGGCCCACATTCCATTCGTATCTCAAGATTAATATGCGGCGATTACCGACATGCGGACGGTCCACCGCGCTATCCCGCTTCTTAAGTGACACACATCGCCGAGCACTTTGTTTCATTCAGCGGATCGACTGATTAAAACGGTTACTAAAGTACTTCTATGGGCATTGAACTGTATGAGCAACGAACAAAAAGCCCTTAACGGGTCCGCTGCGACATCTAGAGAACAGGATAAGTTATCGTAGTTTGCCTTCCGAAGCTTTCGTTGCGAAGCAGTCGCACCACGACCAACCGACGGATGGCGACTGTGAGCATTACCGTCGATGTTCATGGAGAGCTCTAATACCATAATTCTTTCAATTTACGTCAAAAGGAAACACAAAATTTACAAGGATTCGTACTCGAACGCGGAATTTCCCACACGTCCGGCAATTCTTTCTACACATCGAGTGCTTTTCTAGGCCAACAAAAACATTCAAAGCAGTACCTGACTTCAAGCAGTAAGGACTTGAAACATTACATTCATGCATCACACAACCCCAAATTTAACTGCTGCACTTGGGAATTCGACCAAAAATCCGAGAATTTTGACATGCTGTCGTCAAATATCAACAAATCTACAAAACAGAAAGCCACTCGATTCCAACCAAGGCGATAGAATTTAGGCACACGTTAAATCAAACGATCCGTCAGCATTCGACCGAAGGAAAGAAACATTCCAACTTTACAAGAACTGAATAAATTCTCAATTTAGGGGGGGGGGGGAGAACTGGCACTTCCCGACATCAACAGGAAATCCGTATTCTTTCCCACTCATCCAGGGAAATATCCCTCTGTTCTCTGAGACACTCGAACCACCGTAAATATTGCCAATCGTTTCAAGATTTCGCACGGATCAACATTAAGGAAACCGGGCTGCTAAAGTGAGAACGATGACATACTGATCGGCTCAACGACATCAAAGATTGAGCAACTACGAGTTATAATTAACGTTCAGGTCGGAAGATCAAACTGCTGTACTGCGAAGAAACTATGTCGTGCTTCATCTTCAACTCGAGTTCCATGATGCGAAGTTAAATAGCGAGGCATATTATAGTAGGGATGTTTTCCAAATTTTGATGCGTGATCGAATCACTGAATTTAACTCTTCAAGCTGCGACACTGCATTCGAAATGACTCACCCTTTCCTTGGAGCGTGAGCCCATGGCGAATGAAGCGATGCAGGTTACGCTTCAAGCCGCCATCAACCTAAGAGTGTGATTTGCATCGAGTTACGAACAGGTCCCACGGAAAAATTCACCAGGTCAATTAAAACTTACACAGAACTAAAATCAGAAGAATATTTTTCGTTACGCAAGTGTGCAGGAGAAATTCACCACGAGTCATTTCCGTGGCACTCGTACGAAAATTCAGATAACCACACCATCACAAATGTATCGGGCGAAACCCGAACACAACAGATCAATTCGGCTTCTATAAATGCGAATCTGGATCTATCGCAGTTTAATTCGACGAAGGATAAACAAAAATAAGCTCAGTCCACAATCACTTCATTTACGATATTCTTATCGAAAGCGAATAAAATTACAACAGTCAAAAATGTTGTGCGCGCTTGGACACGACTTCCCCAATAATTCCACCTTGCCGATTTCCGATAATTACTTGTGGAATCCCCTTCGAACAGGTATCATTCGCCGATCGGGTCCGGATATTGAGGATGGACGCGGCCATCTTTGTCTCTCAAAGTTATCGAGCAAGCTGATAGTCGGTACGACCATCCGATACCCTCGCGACATCTGTCTCCCTGATCAGCGGCATAGGTAATGCGTCGGGCAAAAGGTATGCAGGAAGCGTGTTCTACAGCTTGAAAATCATTCCAATTTGAAGACAATTAGAGCAGGTATGAACCTACAGGAACCTGTGCACATAATTTCACTTTGCCCATGTTCTAGGCAAAAAATTGACTGAACAGCACGACACTATTTCTTAGTCAGACGTTTCCAAACCAGTTACTCTCGCGTCAACGTCCATCCACTTCCAAGATTCGGTTTCTATCCTAACCTGGATACGCAAAAAACAGTACACGAATGCGGACAACTTATTCTTCGCACAATGCAACTGTAAATGATGAAATTGTTCCCGCGTCACACGATACTTCACAGTGACATTTTATTCAAAGATTATGAGTGTGGTGAGTGCATCGACTCAAAATAATTTTTGGATCGGATAATTTTTCTGGATTACAAAACACAGGTCACCAAAATTAACGAAATATGATAATTGAACAAACCACGCAGTATCTGGTATGCAAAGGGGCTCTAACTTCCCATTTCGCAAAACCAGTGCTAGTTCGTGGCACTGGTCCACGATTTTCCTGGCAAACTACACCTGAAAAAAAAACACTGATGCTTGAAACAGAGGTTAATTTCTGTGTGAACTATCTCCGAAGTGGATAGAAAACTTCAGCTAGTATAGCATCGTACAGCGAAAGCTCCTGCACTTTTTTCATTTTTCTTACAAGATTCCTCAATTAACGGTCGCACCAAATGCTTCAATGAGCGTTGGTAGAACCACATGAAAGACTAATTGCCGGCCTTCCCAACACCTGCAGACCACAGAACTCAAACGTTGAAAAAAAATAACACCCTCATTTTTGACTTCACACTCACACGAGTAAAAAGAAATTTCAGAAGACCGAATAGGGGAGTGAGGTTAATAGTGTACAGTGACACAAGGTTAAGAACATGTATCTGGGAAATTAAATTCCGCATACCATATTCACTTGAATACCTATTCGTTCGACACACACACCATGACTCGACTTCTAAACGTATACTCCGGCACATTCATTTAACCCCATCACAATTTGAATTAGATGCCTCACTACCACTGTTTCCTTTCAAGAGCAGGGGTAAAAAGGGCATAATGCGATGGTAAATACATCATGCTGCCTGATGTTAAAATGAAATTTGAAAGTACACAATGTCGTACCAGACTGTACCCAACTTTGCCTAGCATTCATCGTTATACAGTACTAAGTAAGACAAGCTATTGGAATAAAATACTTAAATATGGCACAGGGCAATAAAGGAAAGAGGAGCTCCACAACAATTTTTTGATGTGACTAAATGAAAAATCATGAAGCGACCCGATAAATCAACCGCCAACAAGAAATTGGAACTGAGAAAAGTTTGATCAGAATATCCTATGAATATCGATAAATTTTGAAATCACACATGCTTTTCACTCTAGAATAGTCAAAATAAATCTCAGTTCCGATACATATTCTGGAGCAAGATTCAAATTCATTCGGAAGTATCTGAAATATACTCTTCATTCTCGCATCTCGATGAAATGCAAATGCATACAAGTCAACAGAACAATCGATCGAAACGCTTCACAAGGAATAAATAAAGCACGCTCGAATGAAATACCGGAGGTAAGCCATGATGACAAATCTTGAAATTCAGCTTCAGGTTCTTCGTATGATCCTCACTTCAACAATGACCATTTCAGCTGTTCCTTTGCAGTTTGAAGAACCTTGACATGGCAAAAACAAAAACAAAACATTAAAAATCGAACTCCCGCAGTTGATCAGGTTTCCCGGGAAACGGCGGAGGCACGTAGGGCAAGACCAATCTAATACAGCCAAAAACCCAAGCGAGCTTTGCAAGTCAATCTAGCTTTTGATGCCGAAATGATTTCGATTCATGACAAAAACCCGGAGAAAAATACTTCACTGCAGATTTCAATAACTCCAAGAACTACACAAAAGCAAGACCTGGGGTAGAAATTAAGAAGGAACACATCTTCATAATATTTTTCCAATGTTCGCTAAGATCTGAACAAAAATTCAGCTTAGTCCATAGTAGTCAGCCACTGAAGCATTCTTCCATTCATTGCCAGCAAGTATACCCATATATGTTTCCCAAAGCAGTTCAGAATTATTGACATTCACGCGTACATGCTCCGAAGCATGAACTACAGAACTGAGTTTGAATTCCCATTAAATTTGTTCCAATCGCCCTCCCCGACGTCAATTTCTCTCCCAATGGAATAACAAATTAAAATGCCTTTCAACTGTATCACAGAACCGCGACGTTTTAGCAAGTACACCTTCAGTCATTTTTTAAAAATCGGCAAAATACCCCTTAAAAGCTAGCAGCACAAGCTATCGCAATCGTTCAGCTTCGCACGATGCTACGCCTCTCGAATTCCGTGGGATGAGAAAGTCCAGATATATCCCACCAAGAAGGCTTAATTTTTTCAGTTTCTCACGAATATCGCGTGTCCTGCTCTTTCGCCAGTCAGTCAGTCATCTGTCCCGAGTACGACCGAAGACCAAAAGGATTTCAACAGGTTACCCGCCTTGATAAAAACGCCGACGGCAATGAAGAACACTTCCAAAAAATATAATTCCGGAAACTCACTTGAGCAACTGTCTGCTCTCCAATCGGAATGTCATCCGCTCTTAAGGCAACCCGGGAAACTACACTCGACGCATCAGCATCCAAGAGAATTCTACAAAAATATCAAGAATCAGAAAAATTTGACGGTTAATAAAGCCTTTCTGAATAGAAGTTTCTAATGTGCTTACCCTCTATCACATATTTCATCAATTGCAAGAATAACAACGTCCAAATTGTCTATCAGAGCTCGTTTCTCAACATTCTTGCGCAATATCTGTTGCACAGAATCGTAGACTGTGTTCAATGCAGACATCAGTAAAAGCTGAAACCGAAAATCCGAGGTGATACTCGCAGACATAATTACGTTCAGAAAATCCAAACCTCATTCTCTTGTGCACTCCCGATGATATAGAAGAAGAGATCTACGTGAGAACGATACACACAAATAAATCCATCCAGCATGATTATTTCAGCAGCAGCACGATGCGTTTTGCTGAACAGATTCTTCTCAAATGCTTTCTGCTCTTTCGTCGAAGGGAATGCCTTCTTGTCATAATAGTTCGCCAGTAAACGATTCCCATCGTTATCCATTATGACTATTCCTTTAACAATGTACAGAGACGGCTCCTGAAAGAAAATACTGCATCCTTAAACGAAGAACTTTGGATATTAGTAAGAGCATACTCACGAATGGCGCGCAATCCATGGCTCAAATGCTGATACTGAACAATCCGGCACGAAGCGGGAACGGAAGGGCAAAGAGAAAGAGGGTTTCTGAAAAGTTGGATTAACCTGTACTTATCATCGGTTGATAATCATTAACAGCGAGACGTATGTTCGTCGTTTTCGCCCGAGGGATCTCACATCCGCCATGCGATCTAAAACACCATTCGCGACGTCTACGGTATCGACGCTCACAAATGCCAACTTCGTACATTAACTTTGCCGAAGTTTCGTCACACGTTCAGGTGGCATACGTCCATGCTACTCCACACCCCAGCAGCAAATTCCCATAGATTTCACATATTGCAGTTCGGACTCACGACTGCCGAGCCGATATTTAACCGATATAAGTTAAAATATGTCCAGCAATCCATACATCCCGACGAAACAGCTATTCATCCTAATGAGAGATTCGATTTTCTTGCTATTGAGCATAAAAATTCCTTCTGTGAATTGGGAGAGAAGAAAGTTTTCCACACTTATTCAGAGTAGAGGGAATACTTTCGTAGGCGGGCGTTAATTTATATAAATGATTAGCAGTTGTTTCATTTTCGAATTACTGTATGGTGTATTTCAAAAGTTCTTATCTTTNCGAGCCGATATTTAACCGATATAAGTTAAAATATGTCCAGCAATCCATACATCCCGACGAAACAGCTATTCATCCTAATGAGAGATTCGATTTTCTTGCTATTGAGCATAAAAATTCCTTCTGTGAATTGGGAGAGAAGAAAGTTTTCCACACTTATTCAGAGTAGAGGGAATACTTTCGTAGGCGGGCGTTAATTTATATAAATGATTAGCAGTTGTTTCATTTTCGAATTACTGTATGGTGTATTTCAAAAGTTCTTATCTTTCTTTACTTTCCAGGAAATGAGCTTTAAAAATTGTTCAATTCCCGGCCTAATGAAGATGATTGCGAGTAAATACTGTATCAAGTTCCACCGCAACTCTCAACGCGCGTGCAGCAGCTGAATCCAATTGTTGCCAGCTTGGCGTTGTACATGAGTAAAATGCACTTGAACAAAGCCGTATTATTTATTGTTTTCAGCTCGAAGTTCAACATTTTTATTACAATGTGTTCGCTGTGAGCCACTTTCACAATCTCCCTTTATTCCATGCTATGACTTTCAATGTCCAAGAACGAAACCTATTCTGTTGACAATCCTGAACAGAAAAATACTTATTGCAGCTGGCACGAAGTATAATAATCATCTAATATGCCATGCATAAGGTTGCATATTCGCGTCCATTGAGGGATTCTTATTGAAGATTCAACACTTTCGAGTTCTCTATGATTGGATTACCACAAGCAAAACTGTGGGGAGTACGTTCAAAATTCGTTGTAAAAGGTTGCCTCGTCCTCCTTAGACCCATCCCAAAGGGGTCTTCAACGGCCACGTATCACTAGTGTTCACGGACACCTCACAACATATCCATCCTCGACGGACATTATTTCTGAGCGGACACGCTATAACTTGCATTCTTGCAGGAGAACATATCACGATGCAAAAAAAGGTTGGAGCAGTGAGATCCAGTTTGGTGTTTCAACTTCTGAAGTAGATGTCGCTACTTGCATTTTAATTCCAGTCGTATTTGTACACGGCGTGCGTACAGTATTAATCTTCGAAATAAACGCGTTCAACATCGAATCCAAAAAAAATTGAGAACCCAATCAAGACATAGCCTTACGGTAGGAGAGGTGGGAATAAATATACAATAATGCATACCTTAATAGCTACGAAAAAATGATGTGCAAAAAAATAAAAGTGTGCATAGTACTCCACTTGTATACACTGCATACAACGATGTACTGCACGATTTTCTCAGCATAATAGTGCATGTATAAAGAATTTTTATGAGGTCCCATAGGGTTCTTTATTCATGTCATAAAGATTCTTTACAACAAATTTTTCCAGGTCCCTTGAATTTATTTTTTGTTTAGCCAGTTCATCATGCGTACAGTATCAAAGCTGCTATCCATAATTAAGTAAGTTCTGAGAGACACATTTTTTCTGCTGTCGAGAGTTTCAAGATGGAAGCAATATATGCATTCAGCAGCTAAAACTGAAGGTTTTCTAAGCGTCAGAATACACATCGACATTGGCCGACAAAGTCTACAAGAACTTCTGACGAAATCAAACACGTTCTTACCATTTAAGTAACCATCCTCGGAGGTAATTTTATTGTGCACTATAGTTTGCCTCGAGAACAGGTCATTTATTTTATTCTGTCAGTACTTCACGGGTGAATCTTGATCTCGACAATGATGTTTGGAAGCTCGAGTATATTTAGTGAGATGATCAAGTGCTTTGTTTATAGAAATAAATTCAACAGACTGTTTTGCAATTCAATATTCTCAAGTGTTCCAAGTACAGCACAGACGATTTCTCAACATTTCGGAAACATTGATCAAACAAATGCCAGCAATAATAAGGTCCATGTCCATGCTGAAGAAGGTAATCTCATCACACCTTTATGCGTAAAATACGGAAGTTCGAAAACTCAGAAGGACTAAACCGCCACTTAATTGTAATCACATCGTAAATCATTGCCCCAGCCTTTACATAAAACGTGCTCAGCAGTCCGTTATCTTCAGCAGTCAAGCGACTGAAGAAATTTGGACCTTCCAGCATTCTCATTTTCTTTAAAATGAACTCTTCTTGACGTAAAAATAAAAATATGCCAATAAATTTGGATCCTCCCGATAATCATTGTATGGCCAAAATAAACTCTTTATACTCACGCAAGATGCCTAACGTCTGAGAGGTGCCAGAATTTTCGTAAAGAAACTTTAATAGTTTAGTGTATCAATAACGACCTTAATCTGCTTTCAAGTGTATTTGCTGGTGATTTCAGTACGGAAATGCGAGAGTTCCAGGTTTATCGCCTTTAAAAATGAATGCACCATGTTTTCAAGAGAGGTGACATTGACTCAACCTTGCCAGCCGTAATCCTATCAAACTAGCCTGATCTACATTTGCTTCGAAGGTGAATTTCAATTGATTTGTTCTTGGGTGATGTGAAATCCGATCAGAATTGTTAGTCAGAGATTTTTTTGTCAAAGCTGACCAAAGAATAAAATAACTTGGGCCAATCTAGCCCGAAAAAAAAACTTAAATTTGACGTTGGCGGGCGTTTTATTTCATGAAACGGATGAAATCAGTGAAATTTCCAATTGGAAAGAATTCTGAGCAAGTCAAAGATAGTCTGGCTCTGAAGGTTCAAGAAAAATTGAGCTAACCTGACCTGTTTTGATGTCACTCTACAAAATGAGTGCACAAAGGAATGAGTGATAAATTTCAAACGAAATGCCATACGAAAATTATTCCTTGCTTTTTTAAGGCTTACCCGATTTCAAAGATTTACGTTGAGTCACTCTGTTCTGATCAACCGTAATGCAATTTTTAAAGCGAGTCAACCATTATTTTTAGGAGAAATTGAAAAGGCAATGTCTTTATTTTCCATTGAAGAATACAAGGTGCAGTATGTGTTTATATTCCAGGAAACAAACGACTACCAAACCATACGAACATAAAAATGGAGACAATCTTAAATTTTTCCTACTTCTGAGATTAATTTAAAATCAACAAGGAGAATCTGGAGCAAAACTCGAACAAGTTCTTCAGGATACAAATTCAAGCAAGCCAAAGCTCTCCTGATTCTAAAACTAAAAATCAAGCCCAGTACAGTACTGTAGAACTTCATAATATACATACAGGTGGTACCTTGCAATTTGACCATCCCACAATTTGAGGGTCAAATTTGCAGGGAGATTGACTTGCAATTTGACCATCCCGCAATTTGAGGGTCAAATTTGCAGGGAGGTTGACTTGAAATTCAACCCTTGCCCGGCGATTTGACCTGCTTAGGCCATTTTTTGCATTTTTAAACTTATATTTTTTAAATTTCACAGTGTTTCGCAATTTGACCAATTTGCAATTAGACCCAATTCCAGCAATGGATTAGCGTTGAATTTCGAGGCACCACTTGTACTCCATATTCCATGGAAATTTTACCCTCAGAATTTTCCCAGAGTACTTAAAAGCTTTAACTTACCGTTTCTTTTACAGTAATTTATAAGAAGAAGTCTCGTAATTGGGACAATAAGTAGACTAGGTTGTACGCCCCGATTCCAGAGATGACTGGCGGAAAGGCATTTGAGAAAATAAAGAGAAGACCAGCTCTGCTTTCAATGTCGCAATTCTTGGAGCAAAGGAAATACTGTGCATTCGAGTCGTGTTTCAGTCGTCTGATTTGTGTGTAGTCGTCGTCATCAAGTTCGGTCTGGCGTGATCAATTAGCAGCAGAAAACGGCGTCCGGTCAACGCCACGCAGTCTGGACCGCATCAGCTGAGATTCACGCTTTTACAACCAGGCAATTATTCGCCACGCGGCTTATCCAATTACGCGCGGGAATTAATCACTGACCGATTTCTGACTCAGCAACTGCGCCCTTGCCTAATTACCCTCACAGAGAGAAAGACAGAGAGAAAGAGAAGCCCTCTCCTCTCCTCCTCTCCTCCCCCCCACTGCCCCGGACCTCAATTAAGCGGAAGCCTCGACTATAGTGAGTAAAGCCAACCCTGAAACACGCACACACACGCGTTTTACTACGAATCAGCTGACTCGCTGATTAGTGCCAGAGTTTCTAATTGAATCTCGTCTTTCCCTTGCAAACAGACACACATGGTTCGTATAATACGAGAGACCAGCTCATGGTTCCGTGGGAGAGGGAACCAGCTGTTCCCGTGGCGCTTTTTTTTTTTTCCTTTCTGCACTCGCGTTTTCGTTTCCTTTGCTCACTCATTCACTGGCTTGTCAAACGTGTGTGCTGAGTCGACGAGCAGTGTTCTGCACAAGTTTCGCAATCGTCTTCGTTTCTCTTCTTACTCTGGCACTTGTTTCCATTTTCTTGAGCGAATTTTTCGAGTCGACGGGTCGGCTAAACCTATCCGGCGAGTCCCGTTTTTTGTTTCGTGATCGTCGAAAGATTAGGGACAGTTCCCATACAGATTTGATAACCAATGTTTTTTTTTTTAGTCTTCAGACA